AAAAAAAAAAGAAATAATTTAATAATTGTAGCCAAAAGAGTTCCGAATAATTTCGGTACTCTGTATATCCAATGAAACAAGAAAAAAAGAAAAGATTATATAAATTATATTAAATCCTATATAAATTGCAATGATCCACTAAGAAATTTGTTTTTTTTTTCTAAAATACAATAGAAAACAAAAACATAAATTGTTCAAACGAACATTAAATAATCGAATCGTCAATAAACGATATTTCTAACAATTTTATAATCGATCTTTTGATTCTTACGGTAATCATAATAAATAACGTTAATTGCATCATTTAGTTGGCTGAACATCGACACAAACGGAACAAATGACACATTAAAATCATTATTTTTCTAGTTGGCTGCGATAAATAGCGATTTTAAATAGGTCGTCGCCGGCGACACGAGTCCAGCTGCTGATCTTTTTTTCTTTTCTCGTTTTCTTTTCTTTCCTTGCTTCTTAAACGTTCTAGTACTTTTACAACTATTTTCATCTCTCTCAATAAGCACGCACACACGCACTCGCGAAGAGGTGACACGCGTTACAAGCTTCGAAGAGAACAAGCGATAATTGCACTTGCTGCACGAGAACGCGTCAAAAGACGATCCTGTTGCATTTAAAACGGTCACATTTCAACTTAGAAAAACGTACACCATATCTGTTTTCGATATTATGCATGTTAATAATATTTACTTCTTTTCTTTGCATCTTTTATCATTCTCTAAATTCTTCCATCCTCTCTATCATCCCCTTTCTCTCTTTAGTTTCTCTCTATTTTTTAACTCTTGTCAAACACGATTTTCTATTTTCCAATTAATTGCGAATATATTGCGAAATACCGTTGAAAAATAATTTCATGAAACAAAATTAAAAATTACAAAGAATTGCAATTATCAAACTGAATCGATATTTGTTGTTAATAATTTGAATTGCATATATACTCTTTTGAACGGTATTACGCCTTTTTTTTTTTAAACATTGAAGAAAAATCGATCAAATTTCACGAGTGATATGACATGATTGAATTGAAACAAATTTTTTAAATTAATATTTTTTTCTGGCAAGACTCGTAATAACGAGAAAAAAAATTAACGAAAAGAAATTAAGAAATATTTTCATTCTCGCAGATGCATACATTCTATCTCTTTCACACATACATCGTCTTCTAATCTTCGGCATATAATATACAATCTTTCTTTTTCATCCATATATTCGCATTTCTCGTTTTCTTTCATCCCCTCTCCCTCCCCCGTTCACGTTTCTCGATCTAGATCACAAGTTTTTTTCTTTCGCATATTTACGTTCCGTAATTATATAGAAAACGAAAAGATCTTGCTACGTTATCTCGAGATTTAAAGTCACGCGTTATAAATCTTTCAAATATTTCGATTAACTTTCAAACGAACGAATATTTATGTATTTATTTTTTTCTTTCCTTTCTTTTCTCTATTTTCTTTTTGTTTCTTTTCTTTTTCTTTTTTTTTTTTTATTGTTGCTTTCATTGAAATAAGAAAGAGAAATTCAGTAGGAGGTGAAGACGAAAGTCTAGGCACTAGAACGTATAATTCTACCCGTATAAAATCGCAGAATTAATAATAATCCCGAATTCATCGTTCGCAAGATCGATGATGACATTCAGACACAGCGACGATTAATCTCGATTATGAATATATCATTAGCAGTTAAATAGAATATAATTACTTCATCATGCTGTACGGTAGTCACGTAATGAAGATTACATACACTTAATTATTTTTTTTTTTTTTTTTTCATTACATCTCTCGTGCGGATCTAGGCGCAAATAGTATTCCGTAATAAAAATAAGGAATATATGTATATTATATACATATATATTCTTGTTTCCACTGGGATCTATAATATTTTTATGTCAAAAAGATCTACTTTTTTTTTTTTGATATTCTAATAATAAACAAAGCGATGTATATTATTTAATCACACTGAAATTAAATATGTACTATTCCACCAAGCTCCGCTTTTTTTCTTTTTTTTTTTTCCTTTTTTTTTTTAAGAATACGTATATGTAAATATGTAATCTGTGTATGCATGCAATACGTGATATAAAGTCGCATTTTTCTCCTAGGAATTCTCATTTTAGCAGAAATGTTCATATCTTTCTTTATATACGCATATCTTCGTATATAAATATAGAAATATATATATTTATAAAAGTATATATATTTATATATTTATACTCGTAGCTTTTTTTATTTATATAATTTTATACTTCACTGTTCGATCATTCATCTGATATTCGCGCACTTTATTTCCATTTTATTTCCACGCTCTCTATTAATCGAAAGAGAACGAAGTATTTTATAAGAATATCTAACAAAATCAAATAAAAAGACATTATTAGCGAAAAAAGCGGAATACACCTAACCTATAAAATTTTCCTCGAACGAGATCGAACGATTAAGACTAACTTATCAACAAATTTTTCAAAACTTATTTAAAATAATCATTGGAAAGAAAAATTTTTTTAATCCTGATACATTTGTTAACTTAATTCTCGTTCTCGTTCACCATGGAAATTTCTCACATTTCGAATAATTTAAATTTCACGCCAGACGAAACATGATGCAAGGTAAAAATTAAACAAGCTTCGAAAAGAAACTTGTTAGAATTTATATTTTAACACGTACTTCCATAATTCATGTTGTCTCGTGCAGCGTGATTCGGTGAAACATTCGTTTCCCTCTTTTATACATTTAAAAATTCACGACTGATTTCCTTTCTGTTCATACAGCACAACAAAATTTGCAGGTAATAATCTGCACGCTATTATAACAAATTTTGAATAAACACGAATATTTTATTGTTGTTATTTGTTTTCTTATTATCCCATACCATTTTAAAACTCGCTAATTCGTGTTTAAAGCCAAAACATATGAAGGCATTTTATCATATTCGACGTTTGTACGCGTTATATATGTGTGTAAATTAAGGCTGGGATATTATTACGGTGAATCGGATACTGCTTATCCCTATAAATGAAAACATGTTTTTTTTCTTGTTCGTTCGTCTCACCTTTATCTCTTTTTTTTTCCTTTTTTAAAATAAAAATGTTGCGAATCACATATAACGATACATACAATTTATAAAGAAAGCACGTGTGTGCGCGTATATTTGAGGCAGTATTCGACTCGAATAATTTTCTTTTTTCGTTTACAATTTATCAAACTCAAAGCATAACCATATATTAAAAATCATAAACAAAAGAAATTAATATATATTACGCATTGGAAAGATAAACTTTCTTGTCTTTCTTTTTTTCTCCCCACCCCTCCCCCTTTTTTTTACACTTTGCACGAACAGGTTATGCTTCAAGCGAATCTTTCTAACAAAAAAAGTATTCCTTTTTTCGACTTCTTTTCAAATCAGACATCAGACATATCAAAACTCAATCTCCATTAAAACTAAACATGCTGCTCGTCCTAAACCAGATGTGAAATTGGTTATCGAGAAATCTGTGCGAGTTCAATTCGTGTGTGTGTGGCAAAGCGACGACCCATAGCTATCTTCTTATTTCATCCAGTATAGTTTTGTATTTCGTTAGTATAGCACAACGAAAAGACGTGAGTACTTCAATCTTGTTTTTTTCTATTATGCGGCATTCGGGAAAATTCAAGGCTCATCGCGCTGCCGCTGGAGAAAGATAGCCATAGGCAGTTAGAGGGCTACAGGCAAAGTTTAGATATAGCAGGCCCTGCAAAAATTGATATTCAAATCTACGTTTTTTTTTTCGTTTTATTCTGTTATTTTTTTTTTTGTTCTTTTTTTTTAATTTTTTAGCTTATAATTTGATCACCATCTTCTTTATCTGATGATACAACTTACTCTCAACTTTTCTAATTAATGATATATTATAATATAATCATAACTGTGTTCAGATACAGATGTTAATTCTAATTATGACTAATCTGTAATCTTAAACTAATATCATTGAGAACACAGTGTTACTGAATCAATCTAAATGTTGCATGTTGTCCCTCTTCCCCAAAGTATACACTGTATGTGCATACAAAATTATATATGTAATTAAACATTATATTGAAACAACACACACCTTTGATTATAATTTTAAAGTGTAATGTACACAAATGTTCAGAACGATCTTTCAAAGAAATCCTTCATATATCAATATGATTTTATAATCTTATTCTATCCAATAATAAAGACAACGATATAGATCACCTATTGCTTTTTACTATGTATTCTTAATGAAATATTTTCTTGCACTTATTTTCTTCCATATATTTCTTTTCATTTTTATGTAAGCTAAATAAAAACTATTAATATATTTTATATTTATCAATAAATTTTAAGTAGTGCAGTCTTTATTATTGAAGAGGAAGTTTAAAACGTATTTTGTGAAAATTTACAATACATCAACATGTATCTGACACTATTAAAAGCCATTACTATTTGCAAAATATTATGTAAGTTTTCAATGACATTAATGCAGCTTAAGCTGTTATTTTGTAAAGAGTTTGATCTTAATTATTTTTTCACTTATTCATTTTTTTTCTTTTTTTTTTTTTTTACCTTTTTTTTTTAATAACTTAATTATATTAATTTATATGTCTGAATGAAATAAATTAAGCAAAGATCGATTAAGTATCGGAAATGTACTAACATTCCTGGTGCTCAATCAATATGAAAATCTGTGATAATTTTTACTGCAATATAGGAAGTATAACTTTATTTTTGTGTATAAAGTATTGTATATATTTATACATTTATACAATACTTTACACCAATTTAGAGAACAAATTATTTCATAATTATTTTATATAATTCTATATATGTTTTTCTCTCTTGTTTTAGTATTTCATTAATATACTTTTTTATGCTGGTTATTGGTCAATAGAAACTTACATTGTTACAATTAAAGCATTCCTGACAACTTTAAAATCGTCTATATGACGTCATTTCGAGATATGGAAAAGGAAATCTTGATGTTTGAGGCTGAGTAGTTTGCTGAGTATGAATAGGTGAATATGATGGCTGTTGAAGGAGAGGAGAATTTTGTTGATTTTGTAAAGGAGATAATGATTGACCAGGAGAATGTGAATGTAGATTTTGTGGATGGGAAAATGATAATGCATGATGGCAAGGAGAAGTCTGTGAATTCTGTACATTAGCTTGTGGTATATTCAAATTGTTTGTAATGTTAATATTGTTTAGTATGTTGAGACTGTTAGATACGTTATTAGGGATTGTCAAATTGCTTGGAATACTGAGTGCATTTGGAATATTTGGTAAATTATGTGGAAGGCTTGTTGGTAAATTATGTGGAAGGCTTGTTGGTAAATTATGTGGAAGAGAAAGAGTAGCCGACGTAAGGTAATGTACGCTGAAAGATGGGGGCTAGTAAAGCCTCATACCTTCTTCAAATTTGACGATAAGAGGATCAACAGCTGGACTACCAATAAAACTGCCTGCTTCACTGCTTCCTCTACCTTGATCTGATTCTGTGCTACTTCCATCATATTTTGTGTCATCTAAATAATAAAAAAGATATTTCCTAATATTAAAAAAAACATCAATTCAAAAATTCAATGTATTATTAAACTAGTATACAATATATTTTAATATTAAAAAATTAAAATAAAAACAAAATAAAAAACAAAATAACAAAAATACTAAAAAACGAAAATATAATATACAATTATATCAGAATATTTCACAATATGAATAAATAATCAACAATATTTCAACAACATCATTTACAAACTACATATTGACATAAAAGCATTTTGAAATAGAAAAATCAAATAGATATTTCTTTTCCTTTTTTTATAATAATATAATATAATAATAGAAATATATATAATATTTTTATAATATAAAATAATATATATAACTAAAATAAACAGATTATGTCAAACATATTAAATATCATTAACTTATTTTCATATTTATTATATATTTGTTATTATACATATTAAATATTTTTAATGAATTTTTTTAATAAGAATTTTTTTATATTTACATAATATTTCTTTATTGTTTATTAAAATTGACATATTTTGGTGTTTAATTTTAAAATATCCTGTATCATATAATATTCTTACCTTGACGATTTGACCATTCTTGATTCATTGTTTTTGATGTTAAGTCAAAATTTTTTACTGGATTAATAGGATCACTAGTAATTGTACGAGCATTTTTATGCATAAATGAACAATGTGGTTTTCTGCAACCTCCAGGTTGTGTTTCCCAATAACATGGAATTGATTTACGATTTTTCTATTTAAACATATAAAAATAAAATATTAATCTATTTCAATTTTTAATTAATAATTTATTTATTTATTTATCTTTTATTTTTGTTTATAATATGCTTACTCTTAACTCCATGTGCCTAAAATTACAATGTTCATCAAGGCATTTACCCTGCTTCCAATATACACACATTGTTTCACAACCCAAGGCAGATGGTTCATGTCTAAATGGACAATTATCACCCTATAAATTTAATTATAATATTAATAAAAATGGAAAATGATATAAGTATATCAAATATATAACAAATATAAAATAATAAAGTATTAAAGAATATCAATAGTTGCAGTGCTCATATATAGTGTAAATACTGCAAACTATAATTAAAATTGCTTTACATAATTTATCTTATTATGTTACATAATTAAATTATAATTATTTATATATAATAGTAAATACTATAATTTTCACTTTAATTAATATTAATATTAATAATTAGTAATAAAAACTGTTTTAGATGTACAAAACAAATTGTATAAATCAAATATTTTATAATAATTTAAACTAATTACAAAATCAATGAATAAAAATAATCTTGTAGTATATGAATAACGTAGTTTATTAATTATTTTAAAACGAAGGATATCGTAAAATCTGTCTACAACATGGCCGATATAACCTCGCGAATTCAATATATCAGAGAAACAATATGGAACAAATCTAGAATATTTAAAATTTTATGGTGACGATTAGATGTAACAAATGTTTTGTGTATTTTTTTAATTGCAAATACACACCTTTGTGCACGTTGAATAATAGAAAAAATAACAGTCGGTATTCTTATGACTGTGCTCCATTTGCAAGAACTGATAGAAAGATGAATGATCGTGTCCTTCACTAAAAAAAGAAAATATTTAAATACATTACGATTAAAAATGACATTTGATATAGACAATATGAGAATGATCAGACGTGTTACCACTTTGTGCAAAATATAATTATAATTTTAATGTATCGTGGTCAACCGCCAATTCTAATGTTATCGAAAATTAACTTGAATGTAGAGTTTTCGCAAATACAAATATTAACATTGACGAAAAGAATTTTTCTTTCATTATGCATTAATTATATATTTATTACTTACGTGTGACGGCAGTGATTTCTTAGGTGACTTCTTTTTTGCCTCTTCGCTTTGACCCACACACTTAATCGACTCGCACACAGATTCAGGTAAATAGTTCGACCGTGGCACTTGTCGCCCCTTTCGTTGAAGACGCTATTCGCTAACAGAAATGATGGCGGAAATTTTCGAGAATACACGAAAATGCACGACTATTTCCGCGCCATTTTTTAAATTTAGTAGTGTTATTAAGATAGCAATTATATAAATATATATGTATAAATTTTGTAAAATTATATATACAACAATTAATAAATAAATAAATATATTAAATTTAAATTTATTAAATTTATCTAAAATTTAAAAAAAAATTAAATATTTAAATCTTACTATTTTAATTACGTCTATAATTTTATAATCGATTTTTTTATTAAATTAATGTTTTTTATTATAATATTTATTTGAAAAAAAGTATTCAAAAAAAAGTATCAAAAAATAATTCTTAAGCTTATAAAAATCATATTTAATTATTAATAAATTAATAAAAAATATTATATAAAATACCAATCAGTGAATACACTTAAATACAAGTTAATGTTAAGTTAATTTACAATTAAAATGTAATTTAAAATAATAACAGTTTCAAAATACTAAAATATTATTATATTTGAATTTTTGTATAAGTAATATTAACTATGATAATATGATATTTATTTATATTATTTGTTTTTAAATTAAATTTATTTAAAATTTTTAATAAATTTATAAAAAAATTTTTTTTAATAATATAAATCAATAATAGTAGTAAAATAAGTAATAATAAAATTTTAAATATAAATCGAAAATAAATTTTGATACTAAATATATTTTAATACTGAATTAATAAATTTTAATTATATTTTAAATAACTAATTACTTTGCAAAATACAAATACAATACTTTTTAATAATAATCAGCTAAAAGAATAAAAAAATCAACTAAAAAGAATAGTTCTTAAATATGTAAAATAAATATTTTAAAATCATTAAAAATAATTTCTTTTTTTCTTTCTTTCTTTTTTTCCTCTTCTTTCTTAAATTTTATTTCATTATATAAAGATAATTTATACTCAGTCATATAACTTTAACTTTTAGTATTTTTAAATTACATATATAACTTAGAAATAATGTACATTTTATATACATAATGATATAAACATTTTCAATGAAATTATTTAAAGAAAAAAATAAAATATCAATACATAGGAAGCATCTTTTTAATAAAAACATTTAATTTCATTATGGAATATAATAATATTTAATAAAATACTTAAAAAACTCAAGTATTATTTTATCAAATATTAAAAATATATAATTTTATAAGAAAAGATATAATAAAAAATATTATAAGTAAAACTTGAATATTTCATTATAATTGTAAAAATATATATGTTTAAATTTGATGGAAATGTGTAAAACATTTGCACTTAATTTTGTTACATACTCAGATATGTAAGATATGTAAATACAGTCCATTCCACTATAATATGTATAATATATTTTTATAAAACTGTTGAATCAAATGTTTTTTTTTATATATTATTCTTTATATATGTTCTATAATATTTTAATTTAATATAATATATAAAAATGATCAAAAATTTTTCGATGATAAAGTTTGTATATAAAATTTAAAAAATATAATAAAATTAGAACTTACATTTAGTCATAAAAGCAAAATAATAAAATTTGAATCTAATCAAAAGTTAGATTCATACTCATTCATATTATTAAATTCTTTTGTTTAATTATAATAGTATTTAAAAATAGTAATAAAAATATTATAGAACATAATTAAGATAATAATAAATAAATTTCATAATTAGTAAATATTTTGCATAATAAATAAATATTAATAAATTTCTGATATGTCATAATGTGTATTAATTATAAAATTTTTTAAAAATTATGTTCATTCTAAATTTAATAAATATATCATAGTAGAAAAGACTGTTTCTTTTTTGAAAAAAATTTCATAATATGAAAAGAATATAATTATCATTAATACACATTAGAAAAATATCATATTTTTTTTACAAAAGGATTGACCAGCAATCCATCTTAAAAAGTAAATTTACAATAACAAATAATAAAATGTGAAGATATCATAATAATACATTATGAAAAAATTATTAATTCATTATAATTATATTATTAATTATTTAGTTTATAATATAGCCAATATTATTAATTTCTAAAGTGAGATGATAAATATTAATCAATGTATATTCTTAATTTAATGAAAATACAGAAAATGACACAATAACATCAATTTTACAGTCTTATCAAAACATTCCAAATTATTACTTTATATTATATATTATAGTCATTTTTTTAACAGTTCGAATTTATCACGTAATTAATAAATCATTGTGTTTGTGTATATATGTATATATCTCATACATTAATATAAACGATTCCTCCTTATTGATTTCAAGCTAAATAATCTATCTGTAGGCTCGAATAATTTACCATTCAATATTCATTAATATTTCATATTTATTTCATTATATTACTGTATTTTTCCATTTGGTTAAAAGTTATATAACTTTCAAAACATTTATGATGCGGAAAAAGAAAAACATTAGTAAAAAATTTATATTCAATTCTTGTTTTTAAACTAGCTAACAACCACTGCTATAAAATCAAATATATATTGCAATAATTTGACTAGCATACTATAATTATTTATGTCGTGTACATTTTGTGCACGCAACAAATATAATATGTGCAAATATTAACAACTTTTTATGTACATTATTCTTTAACATACGTATATTGCATATACATATTGAGAATGCAATAATACGCATGTACGTACGAATATATCATATTTGTGTCATTAGTTTCATTATCTGTTTTATTAATGAAAATGCTAAACACTGACTACTATTGCCATTATTTATCGTCTTGTACTTGCTTATAATAAAAAAAAAAAGTACATTTCACGTAACAACATCTTATAGAACTGAATATTTTTTCAATGACAACACTATTAAATAGTTGAATGGCAGTTACTAGCATAAATATGATAAATATCATAATGTAGAAAAAACAAAATAAACTCAAAAAAATATGTCTGTAATATATTATAATAAATATATTATTCATAATCATATCATTCATATCATTATTTTATAAAATTTTATAATAATCCTAACATATTAGGATTGTATAATAATGAAAATCTAAGCATTCTATATGATATATTTTTTCTTTCTTTAGTTAAATTTAAATGTTAGGAAAACATATTAATTCAATTGTATGAACTTTTCATTTTTAATAATATGAAAATTATTTAATAATTATATTATTATGACTTATTCGAATTACAACATTTGGAACAATCAAAACAACTAGTATGCTATCTCTTTGATGACCAAGATGCACGAGTACCACTGCCAAGACCACTTCCAATTATTCGATTTTCAAGCTGTGTTATAGTTTCTTGTAAAGCTCTTTTCTCCTTCAAAAGTAATTGTATATCTTCTTGTGCTGCACTTAAATGAGACTTTATTACATTAGATTCTTCTTTTATACGTATCAATTTTGCGTTTTCTTCTGATAATTTCTCCAAAGCATTGAGACGACTTCGAAGTTGTTCATTATCTAATTTTAACTGCTTACTGGACTGTCTTAAAACGTTTAATTCCATTTCATGATTTATATTTTGAGCTATTTGAGTATCATTACTTGTGAGTGTCACAAGAGAATTACTTCTACTCAATAGGTTTACTAAAAATAAAATTTCATTTAATTAGATTAGATTAATAATAAAAATATATAACAAAATAACTTATAATAATTTAACATAAAAATTGTGTGTTTCTAATAAAAAAAATTGCTCTTGGTAAATTAAGAAATTAAATATATTTTATTCAAAATAGATGATGAATAATTTTTATAATCTAAACTATTACTAAAAAATATTTTTACTATCTAAATTATTCGTGAACAATAAGCAGTGTTATAAAACAACATAACAGTGTCTTATATTTTACGTTTTTATACATTATTCATTCATGCTAATTTATAAATTGCATACTTCTTAAAAATTTTTAAGCATATATAATAAGCAAAAATTATTTTCTTTTAATTTGAAGAAAAGTAAAACATGCCTAATTAAATGCAAATCTAAAATTCTATTTATTTAGAATTTAGATTAAACAATATTAATAGATTAAACAATTATATCAAAGCAGTAAATGCTACTACTATTTTTCTAATTGTTTTATATAAATGCTCACATTAGAAAGGCCATCTGAATGCAGAGAATATAATTGCACAATGTATAATATTAATTTTAAAAAAATAAATAAATTTTTTAATTTGCCACTTAAATATACTCTTAAAAAATGTATCATAAAGTTATTTTACTACACTATTAAATACTATATTTCTTTTCATAAAAATAATAAGTGGCGAATAATAATAATAAAATAATCATTTTCCATTGTTACTTACCAACAGGTTCAATATGAAAAACTCCATTTGCATCTCGTATTATCTTTAGTTTTGCAATATTTAGATCTATAGGAATTGGTCCTGGCGAAGTTATATTATTCGGAGGACGATCTTCATTTAAGCGCAATGATATACTCTCTAAGTATACCTACAATAAGAATTATAAAATATAATAAAAATAAAGTATAAAGAATATTATAAAGAATAATCTTATTTAAAATATTAAAATTAATAAATAATATAATAAAATTTGATATACCTGCAATGGTATTGGTCTAGGTATAATTTCATCTTCAGTTAAATCTGTAAGCCCACTTACTGAACTCATAGATAAGGCCATTGATATATTGGTAATTATGACTTCTAATTTATCTTCAAATAAATCCAAAACACTTTGTTTATTATGAACATCAATATTGCAAACATCTATATCTTGCTCAGTTATATTATTTTGATTTTCATTTCGAGATAAGTATAGATTTTTATTATTTATAGTTTGACTTGCTTGAGACAATTTCCAAGAATCTGACTTGCATTTTAAATCATGATCTAAACGTAGTTTAATGCATGATCCACAATTAGAATCTGAAGGTAATTCAACCCAACCTCGAGATCGTGCACTGAATTTTGTCTAATAAACAAAAAATATTAAAAAATATATATATAAATATATTAATATATATTTTAAACTATATTATAGATATATTTATTTTTCTACAATTTAACAGTATTCTCTTATTTATTAATAAATTGATAATGTTTTAAGAAGAAAATTATTAAGAAAAATAAAACTATAAAAATAAATTTAAAATTATAAAAAATAATTATAAGATTATAAAATGATATATTATTCAAATTTAATATTATAATAATAATAAAAATAAAAGATTATCTATATATATTAGATAAGAAAATAATATTTCTTAAAAACAATTTTTTAATATTAACTTTTTTTTTATTAATAATATATTCAAGAATTTTAATATAAATATATATTCTATTTATGTATAAACTTTTATTATATAATTATGTTGATTAATATAATTAATATAATTTTCATTATATTTAATTAAAAATTTGAGTATTATATATTATTATTTTTTTATATATTAGATTAGAATATTTATATATATTAAATTATTTTTACATAAAAAGATTATTATAAAAAGATTTATGATATAAGAATATTTTTATTTTTTTACAACTTATATAAATCTTAGAATATCTGCAAATTTATAAAAAATATATATAATAGCATTTAAAAGCTTCTCAAATACATTCCAGCTAAGCATTATTTCATACCATGCTACATAAACTCATTACAGTTTAAGAAGACATATTATAAAATAAAAAAATCAAGCTTTTATTATAAAATTAAAAATTTATAGTTTAAAAATTATACAAACTTGTACAATTCATTTATTTATACAAATAAAAAATAATAAAATATTAATTAGTACAATTTAATAATTTAATAATAAACTTGCATATTACATATTGTCATATTATCTACAAATTTATTCACTTGCATATTAATAATTAAAGAAATTAAAAAATAATAAATTAAGAAGTCAGAACTAAATTTATTAAATATTTTCTTTAATTTATATTATATAATTTAATTAAAACTTAATAATTATAAATTCATATAAAATAAAATCATAAATAAAAATATTTATGTAAATGCATTTTGTATGCTATTATGATGTAATTAATTCAAAAGAAATAAATAAACATGCAATAAAATGTTCATAATACAAGGCACTTAATACAAATAAATATATAAGTACTTTGCCAATACCTTTTTCTTGACCTGCCACAAGTGCCACATAAAAACATTCACAAGAGAAGGAGAGACGCAGGAGAAGCATGCAAAAAAGTTAAAGACAAACATTGTATAAATATACATATATAATATAAAAATGTTTGTAATGTATGTGATATAAAGCTAGAAATGAAATTGAAAGTTTTGGCACATGGAAGTATTTAACTAGAAATAAAATATTAATCATTAATATGTTCCAAATAGAATTTCATACAAAAAAATTAAATATTTAATGTATGATTAAATTTCATACTTGAAACATTAATGAATTAATGAATGTAAGTTTAAGAATAATATTTCTTCTATAGATTATTAAATTTGTATCAATTAAAATTATGTCAAATCTATTATTAAATTTGTACACAATAAAAAGCATTTTGTACAATATATAAGAAAAGTTAAAATTTTCTAGTGAAATTTTAATATAATAGAAATACTAAAGAACAATACAATTTCGTTTGCCGCAATATTTAAAAACTTCAATATTTAAATCTATTTAATAATCAAAATAGCATATTGTATATAATCAGCAAACAAAAAAATCATAGAAGTGTATTTTACCTGAAATTCGTCCCATGGGATAGATGAACATTCATCGTTACCAATATTTGAAATCTGAATTTTAATTGAAGATGCATATCCAAAAGATTGTTGAATAAATTCAACTTTAGATAATTTGAATGTTATCATAGATACCTGAAAAAGATTATATCTAATTAAAATGTTCAGATTTTTAATTTTATATTTTATTATTATAAAACATAAAACATAAACTTACAATATCTTTTCGTTTACATACACTGTCCATAGATTTTTCACTTTGAGTATCAGGAGTTTCTTCAACTACTTCACTAGCCTCTTCTACTGCTGCTACTCTAATTGAATTATCAACAGAAAACATAGTATCTAATTTTTCTTGATCTTGAAGACTAACTAAAACATAGTTTTCACTATCAGAACTAACATCACTTCTTATAGATACAGTATCACTACTTCCATCTTCTGGAGAAGCTTTTAAAGCTGAATCAATAGATGTCATTAAATTACTTAATCCTTTTTTCATAGAAGAAAGACCAACATTAAAATTATTAGGAATGAACGGTGTATTTGAAGATGAATCTCCTTTATTATGTTTATGTGTGGTATCAAGAGCATACCGCAAAGGAGACAATACTTTTTCTTCTTCTACAATACTTTGTCTATTGTGCATTATATTTTTTGTTTGTTGATCATGTTTATTCGTATCATTGTGTTTAAAGGTGACAACAGTTTGAGTTGGATTAGTAGAATGCATAAAATCCATTGATAACATCGACGATACATCACTTTGTGGCGTTATTATATCATTATTTATATTAATTTTTTTAGCATTACTCTCAATTCGTTCTGTACTTTGCCAAGGAATAGATGAACCTGCAATATCATCTGCTATGCTGGATGAATCGGGCATAACAGATTCTAAATCACCTCCAGAATTTTCTTTTCCAGGGGTATGCGATGGCATGACGAATGTTACTTCTACTTGAGGTATTAGTGCACCAATAACAAGTGAACTACCAGAATCGATTTTTAATATTTTATTAGAATCGATAGTTAGATATGTTGCCATTTCCGATAAAACTTCCGACAATCTCAATAAAAACAAATATTGATAATGATTTATCTGAACACTAACTAAATTGCTTATATATGCAAGACCATGAATGTCACCAGTAGATTTCTTTTCTGATGAATCTTTATCTAATGAATTCATCGTCATATAACACCATAAAGTTAGAGGAAATGCATCAAGAAATGGTACAGGACGGTTTTGTCCAACTGCACGAGCACCGAAAAAATCTCCCCAAACAGGTTCTAAATTACAACACCATACATCTTTAGCTTCAGTCCATAAAAGTTCTCGATGTAATTGACGAATTAATTCATTTACGGAATTACTACTAAAATTAGGTGGTGGATGACGAATATTATCAGTTCCTGTAATAAATAATAAATATAAAATATACATATAAAATTAACAGAAAAAATATGTTGATATATAAAAGTTTTACCTGCACAATGTGCCAAAAATTTATCTGTAAGAACATGAAAATCATTTGATCTATTTGGAAATTCCGTACTAAAAAACATCTGACCCATTTGAAAAGCGTTTACACATTGTGCTAAATCTGCTCTTGAAGATCTTTCTGTACATCGAACATTTGTTATTGATGCTCTTGAAGTCTGAATGTGTAAAGACTTTGGTCTATCCTTTTGATTAGGATAATCTTGTGGACTTTCAAAAACTATCTGAAAATAAATTATATTATGAATATAAAAGTATGAAATCTTAAATTATAATTTAAATATTTTTACTCTTACTCTTGGAAGTATAGCTTCAATCTTAACATCAAAATACATTAAAGTAGTGGAAGTATATGTAGTTTGTTTATCCTTATTCATTAGAGAATAATATAAATTTAATGCAAAAGAATTAAACCATAAACAGGAAGAGACATCGAAATTTACTTGAATAGGATTTAGTTGTACATAAAATTTTGGTGGGGGCACTACAACAAATATAAAATATATAAAGTTCTAGATTGATATAAAATTTATAACCTAAACAAAAATTCAATAATAAATAATAAAAAAAATATAATTATAAATTTACTTACATGGAAATGTAATATCACCAGGATAATAATAATATGTAAATTCAGCATGAACAATTGTAACATCTTCTGGAAGACAAAATTTGTCTCTATCACCTAAAAATATTTTAATAAAATACAATAAAAATATAAATATTTTTAATAATATACATGCGTTATAAATATATCATTCACATAATATTGTATATGGCAAAATGCAAATCACAATAATTGCATAAAAATTTATATATATTTATATAATAGTCCTTAAGATCTATAATGAATATATTTTTTTAAAAGAAATACACAAAATATATTTAATATTCTATTTTTTTATAACTGATATATATATATATATATATATATATATATATATAATAATA